ATCAAACAAATCCAGCTCTAAACCCTTTTACAATTATAACCATCGACGATGAACCCAGTACCGGCATTTTATTATTTACGGCTGAAGCAAAATTGCTTTATTTGAAAAAATCTTAGCTTAGGAGGGGGCGATTGCTGGGTGAAGGAACGACTACAAAAAGTGTTGAACTTAAATTTTAAAACGGTTTAGATGCGTCTAAATACTGTAAATAGAAAACATAAATTATTCCACATAACGACTACTCCGAAACCGAAAATGTTAAGACAATCGCTCCGTATATTATAAATTATAATATTATAAAGTGCGCGATGAACAAGTGCGCACCGTTTGTTTCGAACCCACCTGTATATTATTATTGTAATTAGGCATTGTTCGGACAGAAAACAGTCGCTCTAATTTCGGCACCATTGCTCTATTTCGCTCAGTCATTTCTTTTCGTTTCCGAACGAAGGTAAGGTATACATATAAGTATATAACATTGTTGTTATTATATTATTCGTGCGCGAGGCTTGTACGGCTCTATACCTACTAGGCAGGTATACTACTACCGAAATGACGATGACATTGACTTCACGGTTCGGCACTCACCGGCGTGGCGGCAGTGGCGACGGCGTGTCGGCGACGTCTCCAACGTAGTTCGCCGCCACACGATAATATATTATTTAATGCCCAAAGGAAGACCCCCGAATGACGAGCTGCGTTATAATACGTATAATATTATATTTATTTAGACGTGCGCATAATAATATATTATATCGGTGCATTATATTTTGTACGTGTACACTGTACACTGTATACACTACGACGACGACGACATAGCCAGGCGACTATCGTGGAAAGAATAGCGTGAAGTGGACGACTAGGGGGAAAGAAATGATCTATTCGGACGTCTCGTCGTCGTCTGCGCGAGCGGTGGTCACGTTTTACATTCGGGGCCGCCAGTCGGGCCACGAATAGTATCACGTCTCGAAGTTTTCGTGTGTTACGAATCACTAACGCCCGCGGGAGCGTAGCTATCTGTACGCTATAATGCGATCGGTGACGAGTGACGATACTGCGTGTACGATGTACGTATTATAGTTAAGGCTATAACACCGCAGCAAGTTGGTACCTATCGTCTATAATATAACGCAACGTAGTTAGAAATATAAAATATATTATCATTTCGTTGTCCTGGTTTCATAATTTCAGGCGAGCCGAAACAATGACCGGCGCCGAAAAGTAAACCCACCACGACGCGACCGACACGATCGCCTTAGATTCTGTGGCGAACAGCGCGAACCCCGCAGTGTCTATATTATAAGACTATATAACATAATAATACAATGCAAATAGTAGTAGTGTGGATAAAAGGGAGCAAAAGCGAATTCGATCGTCTTTCGATAATCACGTTATTTTGTAGAAAAAATGCTCCACGAATTACGTTGTTATCATCAATGTTTATTGCGTGTCGACAATGAAAAATACGTAATATAACAGTCAATACAGAGACGAGTTGTTTTTTTGTTTTCTGAGAAATAATGATTTTTACATTACACCCAAAAAGTGTTAAAAATTACTGTTGTTATAATAATACAGTCATGATTAATTAAGACATTAAGAAATACCGTAATCGATGGTAATAATATTAGGCGGTGGACAATTTTTCAATGTACTTTTTAGTTTTTACCTCAGTCATCTCACATCGAACCCCGCGAGGATCTCAAAAATATTATTGGATAGTATCAATATTATTAAAGCTACCCAGACTGACCAATTTATTTCGCCGAGTCAATGATTTTCATTTTTTTTTTTACGAGCGGGTAGAGTAATAAAGAATAATTTTAGCCCATAGGTATACAAAACGATTTTACTCTGAATTTAGGTTTGTTTGAATTCGATACTTCAGATATACATAGATAGTCGTTGTTGTAGAGCAGTGAAATATTATAAAGATTCAGACGATCAAATATTAAATAATATGTCCTACAGCAGTATGACAGTGTCAACAGCGTCACTGCCACCATGTACATATTAACTATTTAATCAGCCAATGAAAGTCAAATATATCAAGTAAACTTTCGACAAGTATTGTAATAATGTAAAAATATAATGTATCTATGCCTAATATACAGGTATTTATCTCCTTTTAATTATATACAAGACACAAAATATTATACTAAACATATTATTATATAACTCACTAGGTACATATGATTGCAACCATGGGAATACGTAGGGAAAGTGCTACTGTTCAGATTCAGCCGATGGTCTGATGTGTGTCGTCCGAGCCGATAGAGCAGTTTATTTAGATAAGGACATACGACATAATAAAATTATAATAATAAATTACCACATATATCTATATTATAATATAAGCATCTGTGTTACTGTACATACAATATGATAGATGTATAATGTATATTTAGGATAAGGAGAACTCATACCTGACGCGGACACCACCACACGAATTTTGAAATTCTTAAGCAAACCAAATAGTATAACTTAATTTTTAAAAAAAAATGTTATTTATGGAAATTGTCGCCGATTAAAATTAAGATCAATAAAAAAAGCCATTATTAGCCAGTAGTTATAAAAAATGGCTATCATTACAGTATAGTCGCTTCAGTCACACGAAGCGCAGAAGCGCATTATAAAAACAAAACAAATCAGTCAATACAAAACTCCATCTCTGTATATCTCCTTTTCTAAGGATCTAAAACTCTAAACTGTCTACAATAATCAAACTTAACATATACAAGTCAATAATCCGACAAGTCTGGCTAAATGGAATCTACATTTGGTGCACTGCCAAACCATCCAATACAAAAACTTTTAAAACCTTCCGAACTACGTACAACGTACGTCAAGTAACCTCTGGCCCTATCGGCTATCGCCGTAGGTTCAAATGACAATGGTCCAGGGACATCTTCAGGCTAATTTTCAACTGTTACGTCACGCCCTAGTTATTTTCTTGTATACGATTGTAGTAATGAATACTATGAATTTTAGCAAAATAAAAAAAGTTAGAAATTATAACTATAATATTGGTAGCTACATCATTCAATTATTATTATTTATAAGTTTAGTTATTATACACAATAATTCATGACAACTGTTAAACTTAAGTAGGGCAAAAGTCAGAAGAGTTATATGGGTTTTGAATGTTTTGATTTAATATTTTTAAAGTAATATCTGTTTTGTGATCTTGCCAATATTTAAAACGACTTTTATTCAAGTGTTGTATTATTTATTTTCGAGTTTATTTTAAAATATAATTTTCTTGATAGTTTGGTATTTGAACAAAAATAGTTAGGAAAATAAATCTTAGTTATAATTGCATTTTCTATTTTTGTATACATATTATAATATAATATTTTATATGTCATTTATTAAGTCCATGTACTGTTCCACAGTCATAGTCATATATTTATTTTAAATCGTAAATTATGACTATGAAGTCTAGGCACCTATAGATTCTACAATTACTTACGAGAATAATACAATTGTTATTACTATACTTAGACATTTGACTATTGATCCATAGGTATGTCCATATTATTTATTCTGTTCCCAAATACATTTTTTAAAAGCTACAAGGCATTCGTTAGGTTTATCGAAAATGCATGCTTACATTTTATATTTGTACCAACTAGAAAATGTTCACTATTTTCAACTGTAATGTGGTTATTTGGTTTGCCTAACAATAAATTATACAACACTTTTTTTGTAGCAATAACATTGTTTATTGTCAGTTAGTTACTAGATTTTGTGTAACAAATAAGTGATATTTCACTTATTATTGATGCCACTATATAGCCGCAATTTTGTTTAAATCTATTCAATTTTATTTTCATATTATTAGAATGGTTTTTTTAAACATGTTCTACTAAACATAACTTTATTTCCATCAGTAGCATAATAATGTTTAGGAATGTAGTCATGCTCATGACTGTCATGTCAAATATAATTCCCCGGTTAATTATTTTGGTTATTATTTTTTTTCAACAAAATTAAATTTGTACTAAATTAGTTTAAATTAAATATTAATTTATAATAATATACAAAATAAATTAAGCACAATGTCATATTTCATAAAAATTAAATGACATTTTCAGCTTGATTGAATCGAACCCGGACGGAGGTGCATTTGTACGGAATCTTCCGGCCTCCGGGCAATATGACGATATAAGCTACGAACTGCAGGACGCAAAAAAAATCGTTGTAGTTTCCCCCTCCAAAATATGGTTGTTATACCCTGTTAATGATTTAGGATTATTTTCAAAGTCACGTATACGGACGGGGTACAAAATAATAACAAAAACGATATCGAACTCAAGACGATCCACAGATTGACATAAATATGATTGAAACCTCAAACGTATGAATAGTGTACACCCCGGTATACATTTAACGGTCAATCTATTAAATTGATAACATTTGCAACAATCCATCGCATTACCTTTTTCAGAACTCAAAGTTTCAGAACCATCAAAACTAAATTATCATAATGATTAAGATGCCTCCATTTTTCCTAAGTGGGGCCCTTCCTCACGCTATGCAATATATATTCAAGATAGATAGGTTTGAGTCAAGTTTATTTCCTGCTTGGTGTGCACCGCGGGTTATGCTTAGATCATATACAAGATTATATGATCTAAGGGGTTGTGGATATTAACGCTGATATCAGTTACATTTGCAGTAGCAGTAATATTCTATGGCAATGACGGGGATGGTTTTTAGGAAATCATGACGTAATAAGTGCATAAAGTTGTTAAAAAATCATTTGGCGCCACTGCTATTAAATTATACACCCTTTAGCCTTCGGAAGCTCGCCGCACCTATATACAGAGTACGGGCTGATACAACAGTGCAGATACAATCGATACGGCTGCACCGGAACACATTTATAGTCGAATATCAACGATATAATATACAAGGTAGTAGGCATGTGATGTAATAAATCTATTACCTAGTCACATAACGTTATTTTTATAAAATATAAATTTGCCAAAACTCACGTTGTATTCGTTGTCATCGTCGTACTCGGAAAAACAACGGCTGCGGCGGCAGCGCAGTTGTATAATTATAGTCTTTCCCGTACCACCACATGTCAAAAATGTATTTAGTTTTGATTATAAATAGCGATATTTCGCTGAAATCCCGATCGGCAATGAGTACGAGTCCAATATACTTTAAAATATCAGTAAAACGGTAATATTACCAACTATATTATTATTAATTATTATTAGAGCGCGACAGTGCCGCGGCTTCGGTGCTTCGCGAACGTTTCCACGACGAACGGGCGCTTACAACTACAGCGCTCACCGTAACGACCGTAAAATCGTGTTTCGCGCAGACCACGACGACGGCGGCGGCGGCGGCGACGACGACGACGGCGGTAGACGGATATCAGTGCGAGCCCCGCCAGAACACATGGTCGTGGAAAATATAATGCTATATCCGTGGCTGCATAGGGTGCCTGCAAAACAGCTGTGTTCGGGTCGATACGCACCGGTGCCGGTTGAGTTTCCGTCTTACGTCGATGTAGTATTTGCATGCAGCCATGCAGGTATATTAATAATTGATATGATACATCATATTATATTAATATAATAATAAACTCTTAAAATATGGAACGATGGCGCGGTTCGCGGGCAAAAGGGAACAAGACGATTTCGGACATTTCGACCACAATGCGCCGCCGTCGCTCGACGTCTTGTAGAAAACAATATTGCTCTATATAATGTGGGCTCAGTACATACCGCCAAAATGTAAAATACTGAAGATTATCATGTAATTATTTCTTATCTTAAACTAGATTTTTTTGTTTCGTTTCCCGAAAAGTATAATGATTTCGCTAAAAAGTTAATACTTTTCTTTTGACTAGTCGTCTTCCATTTTACACGACTACACCGTCAATATATAATGAAATATGCATATTATATAGGCACAGCGTAATTGAATTCATAAAAAATATGAGTGATTCCTTTTACCGGCAGCTTAATCTTTCATCGATATCATATCATATTCCTTTGAATTTTAATATTACATACTTAATGAGCTAGCATATGGTGTCATATACTTACATACACGAACAGCTCATCTGCATTGGTTATTATTTTTGTAAAATAAATATGGCCATCCATTTGAACAGCTAACCCAAATGGGAAACATATAGACTTAACCAAACCTAACAAGTATCCGATCACTTAACACTATATAATATTATAAATACAAAAATGAGTGTATTGAATAACAATTATTTTAATTTAAAATACATTTTTTTTTATTGTTGTAGTTTTTTTTATAATTAATTATTGATAAGCCTCTCGTTTTTAAATTTTTAATAAATGTACACTTTATATTAAGCGGCGAATAATAATCGATCGAGGACTCGTTTAATTTATTTTTAAAAAACTGAGAGAGTAATATTTAGAGCTATATCTTACCGATGTATTTGTTTTGGAACGATTGGAATACACAGAATACACAGTAGCATCGCATAAGTGTGAAATAATTTTACTAGTTATTGTTTATACTTTACACTCCTTAGTAGACAGAAGTCTTTGTCGGTTTATGCGTTTGATATAAAATAATTAAAAAATAATTTTCTTTAAAATACACTTCACAAAGCATTTTTAACGTTTAAAATAGTATCAAATTTAATATTTAATCGTTTAATCTTAATAATTATTATAGTTATCAGTGACTGATATATAAAATATATAATTGCCAATAATTAATCGATAACGTTATTATTTTATTGCTCTATAGAAACTATGGAAGGATATAAGAGACGATGGTCGGTATATATATTTAATGAACATTCAAGGCAATTTAAAAACTGAACGCCGTTTGACTTGTTATTTTCGTTATTTATAAGTAAATGCTTTCATAAAATTAACAGATAGGTAGTCATAAAATATACTTTACATAATATATTATAAATTATAGTATAACGTATTCCAAAAGAAAATTAAAATATGGTAAAAACAAAACTTTAAACTTCGGATATTTTTAATGTTACTATAACTAATTTAATATAAATCATAAAAACCAATACGAAAAATAAATTATATGTATAGTATAATTATAATATAAAATTATAGCTTGCATAGGTACAGGCAAAAAATTGCCATACATTGATGTAATTATGATCAAATGTATACAATATTTAAGAAAAATATTGTGTAATACACTAAAACAATACGCAAGAAAATCAATAATCATTAAATATTTTGTACATCTGAGAATACCAGCTGATATCTACGGCCTACGACATACTGTTATAGTGACTATAGAGAGTACCTACTATTATTGATAGCCAATGGCCATTTTTGCTAATGGCTAATACTTAAAATTGTGTCCGAGTACATATGTTGGCTGTTAGTAAACAAAAAATATAATCTTGCGTTTTCAGACGGCCCAATTATAACTGCAGTCTTAATCATTTTATGATGGAAATAAGTGTACCTATGTCCTATACCTATCACCAATATTATACTTGTAATATTATAGTATCCTAATAATACTATATATGTAGTATATATGTTACGGGCAAAGTGGAAAATTCGAGCAATGTATACAGTGACCGGGCATTGTATACAATGTCCGAGGTATATTGGGCAATGTAAATTGTGAAGTATTTATACAAATAATCTGCATAATATATTTTGTTAGATGATAATGATAAACTAATATGAATTTATAATCGACATCTGATTGTGCTTGCATGTCGATCAAGTCAATTTGACAGCGAGAATTCATTTTAGAAGATATGATTGGTTTTACAACCAACCCTTTTTTAGCTGTACTTCCCTTCTTTTTACACGATTCGCAATTATTTAAGTATACCATTATTACATCTCTAGTTATATTTTTGTACTTTTTATTAATCTCGTGTTCCATTCTATTTCTACCTCCATGTCCAATTGACAAATGAACTTCATGTATAATATCATATAACTGAACATTATGCACATAATATTTTATTGCATTACCTTTAAATACATTTAAAATTTAATTAATTAAAAAAAAATTCTAATACTCTTATATAAATAACCATATAAACGAGTATAATAATTATTAGTATATAATATCATTGATTAGGTAAAATAATATTATGCAGATTATTTGTATAAATACTTCACAATTTACATTGCCCAATATACCTCGGACATTGTATACAATGCCCGGTCACTGTGTACAATGCCCGGGCATTGTATACATTGCCCGAATTTTCCACTTTGCCCGTAACATATAATATACACTCGCAATGACGAATATTATTATTCTATACGTTTATCTGGCAATATGGCTAGTTTTTTTTGTCAGAAGCTTAACTTTATCATCTACGTTCTTCTTAATTGTAATGTATTTTAATATAACATGATCAAAAACTATTCCATTTCCACAATGTCGAGATGTACCGAATTCAGAGTTCCGAGCTCTAACGAGCCTCTTCATTCACATGGCTCGTCAAACCTATGCAAAAGCCATCACCATTAACCCCGTTGCAACAGCTAGCAGCTAGTGTGGATAATATAATATTAAATTTCAATCGTCTAAACTTCGTAATGAGGTTTTATGAATGATACAGTACTTTAACTTTGGGTTTATAAACAGTATATAGCGTGGTACAATTTTTAAATTTAATTTTAGTTCTCTAAAAGATTCAAAAGGATATAATATATTTTTATAAAATTATGTTTATATTCACTTATTTGGACATACCAGGCTATTATGTTTATTTTAATATTGTCTGTATTAATGGTTTATTAATTACCTATAATTATTAAACGTTTAGATAAAAGGACTACACAGAGATTAGAGGAGTATAAAGAAGGGTGATTTCAAAATAAATGTTTATCCCCTCCGGATCTCGTTCTGCTATTTAAATAATGAATTGTTAAAGCTTTGTTAGCGAGCTTCTACTATAGTATTAATATTAAATTATAATAGTAACTATACCAGTATACCTCCCTAAGTATTACTATAAATTCAGCTAATTATTAAGGAAAAATGTACAAAAATATTTTGGATACTATTCTAGTTTAATCTTCTAAGGTTTCCATTTTTAATTTCTAAATTGGCTTTTATAATATTTATAGTAGCAAGCTAGGGTCTATGTCTACTTTTTAAATCACGAATTATAAAATAATAATTATTAATTACTTAGGTATATCAATAATTTTCAAGTAGGTAGTATAAGAAATCATTAGGTATGGTAACTATAGCTTACTGCCGATGTACAATAATTAAGTTTGTTATTTGTGCTTTACATAAACAACGATATAGAAATAGCTCTGGGCCAATTATATTTAAATTTTAAACAACAGTAATTGTATAATCTTTAATAAAATTAGATATTATTTTAGTATGCCTGTTAATGTTGAGCCAACGGCAATTGCAATTTCAGGGGCACTAACATATAGTGCACTATGAAGACCACAGTGGAGTCAGTTTTTTATTTCATTCGATAAGTAATAGCGCTTACATCATATGAAAGTATTTAGTATCGATTTATAAGTCACGACTGACGGTTGATGTATAGGCGTGTTCAAGAAGATCGTTGTCTATTAATTTTATATAGTATACCCAGTAGTCACTACGAAAAATTCACTACTCACTACTCACTAGCCAAAATAATTTGCAAATTTGTCGAAATACTTAAGCTCAAATAATTATGAAACTCTCATACTAATATCCATCGAAAAGGGTAGAAGAAGTCATATTTTATTTTATTTTTTTTGATTAAATACAATGATTTATTCCAGAATTTTTCTATGAACTTGTAAAATGTAATCAATGTTGTAATTATAAGAGTATGAGGAGCCGTAGAGTTCAGCATTACTCAGTGTGTCCCATATAATAACGAATATTTTCAGGTATTGAGGTATTCAGACATTTCTGCTAATATTTAGGTACCCATAATTGAATACATTTTGAAAACATTTTAAGTGCTATTAATATAATATGAAGTAAATAAATATTTTTTAATTTTTAATGAGTTACGAATAAGATTAAAAAAATATGCGACCTGTGTATACATAGTATACAGATAGGTCGTGTCAGAGCGTTTCATTTAGCGAAATGCCAAATACGTAATAGCAATATAGCATTGATTATCAGTACTATACCAAAAAAATGTTAGTATTGATAATCAATGGTAAAAGGTACCAATATTGCCTCGCATTCACACGGTCCATGGTCGTAGACCGTAGTTCTATGTAATGTAGTGTATAAATATATATTATATACTTTAATGTGGTGATGAATGTTGATGTATTTAATATTAATATAAAATAAAATATCATAATATTTAATATCATATATTTTA